TGATTAAGTCACTATGCAGTATATTCTGGATGGGAAATCACATTTTGTATGCTGTGATGATGCTTAGGGAAAGAATGTAAATTAAGTTATAAAAAAAAAGTTTTAGGGAAAAAAAATCTATTCAATGACTGCAGTAAGATATATAGCCCCAACTAGGTGCTACTTTATAGGATGTGTAAAGTTAGACTTGTGTTCATGGAAATATATACATCACCTGTGTTTACTATGAAAATATTTAGATTAATTAATGTCTTTAGTAATTCAATAAAATGTGGGGGGGGAAACAGTATAGAAAGCAAACATAGATACCAGAGTCAGTGTGGGAGGATAGTGGGAGATGGCAGAGGGTAAGAGATAGGGAATCAAGAATGGGGGGGGAGAAAGCAAAACATAAAGAAAACAAGAAATGGAAAGTTATTTGCTGACAATAACATGTTTGTTGATTTGCTTGATTGAGACAATATACAGTGTACTCTGGATGGAAAACCTCATTTTGTATGCTGTAACGATGTACAGTGAATGAATGTAAATAAATAAATTGAAATAAAGAAAAAGAAAAGCAAATAGGAAATACAAAAACAAACAAACAAACAAAAACCTCCTCCCAGTTTTCATTAATACAGGAGATAACTTGATTTTTCATCATTATTCTTTAAAAGTTGTCTCTAGATAATTTAAAATGTCAAAAAAAAAAAAAAAACAAAAAAACACCAGTTTTTTTTAAACAAAAAAACACCAGACAGAAAAAAGCTGAAAGAGCAGTACTCACCATGACACAAGGCTGTATCAGACCAGCCGCTGTCACCACAGACTGTGGAACCCTTGGTGCGTCTGTCTCTGTTTTCATATCCACTATGGCATTCATAGTTCACCTCATCATTGACCTAAACCATGTGAAATTTCTCGTGGCTCTGGCATTCTCAAATACTGGCTCATCACTTGATTTTAATAAATAATTATATTGAGGATTTAATTTTTAATGCAATTTGATGGACTATGTGATGGGCAATTCCATCCCAAGAACAAAAAGCTCTACGGATTAGCATATGCTAATAAATTAAGTACTATATAAAAAATGTTAAAAGACCAATGATAAATCATTGTCTTAAAAAAGTAGTTAAACTAAAAAATGTGTTTCTATACAACATGTTCCTCATTGCTAAACCCTCTAAAAATTTTAATTTAAAAATATTTTTGCAATTAAATTCAACACATAGACATTGGAAGGTGGGTACCATGTAAAGTTACACTTAAGAGCAAAGTCGAAAGCCCACTGCTTCCACTCACCTTGTCCGTTGGCACAGGAAGCCCACAGGATGAGCACAGCACTGAGCAGCAGCAGCATGGTAGCTGTCCCCAAGTGCGTTAGCACAGAGTCCTGCCGTGCTGTGTGAGGTGGAAATCTGCCTCATTAGCAGCCACCAAGCCTGACTCTGAATGAAAGTGCACCACATGAAGCTAGTGGATTGACCTCAATTCCTAAATATCAAAGTTCAAAGACTTATGCAATATCCCTCAGTATCCCTAATTCTTACCCTAACTCTGTTAGTGGTTTCACAATAATTTGTTGACTTATTACTTCATACGAACTTGTCTGACTTTCTTCAGAAATGGCAATGAACTGGCTCTAAAGTACTATAAAAGATTAATTTTTAAATTAAATTATTTGAAATAGGCACATTTTAAAAATGAAGCTAGGTGAGGAAGCCTGGGGGAAGGAATAACCTGGAGGAAGAAATCACTCACATCAGTGAAACGTTCTCTCGTCTTTCACTTTCCTGCACCGACCTTTATTTTGGGCAGTCTATGAAAACCAACTTGTATATTTGGGCCCTATTCCTCTATCTATGTATCTATGTGTTCTTGTGTTTAAGAAAGCAATACATTATTCAAAAATCACATTAGAAAACCATGTTGTACACTGTGAAGATGTATGGTGGTTAATTGTAAGTGAAAAATACATTAAAAAAATCATCTTAGATCATGTTATTATAAACAAGAGTTTCAGCTTATTCTTGACATTTACTTTTTTAAGAGGTTTTTGCTTTAGCACACGTGGCCTAAAGCAAATATATATACACACACACACACACAAACAAAAACATATATGTTTTTATATAAATATAAATATGTAAATATACATGTGCATTTATATATAGACTATTTGTTTTTTATTTTATTTTTGGCCAGCAAGTATTCTGGCTGGAGAGTGAAAGATAAAGCATCCTTCATGGGAATGAACATGCTGCAATCCCTTCTCCTCTGTCTCTTCCTCCTTTCAGGAGTTTGGATGCACATGCACACATGCCCAGTGTGGTTTTCAAGCCACTGGGTCTGGGACCCAAACTGTGCAGTTAGTCATGAGGGATCCAGCCACTTTAATCACCATGCCACAGGCTAGCTATGAATTTTTATACACACAGTGATTTCAGTTTTGTTGGAGAAATATGACTGAAGTCCTCACCTGTCTTACTAGCTGATTAATTGTATTTATTGCAACTTCTCATAATATTTACATATATGTATATTTACATAAACATAGCAGTTCTACTTGCCATATTTTAAGACGCCATTATTTACAATAAAAAACTGCTTTCAAAGATATAATTAACATGGAAAATATTAACAAGGTCTTCAAAAGTTTGTGGCAAATGCACATTATGAAAAATCTATGCATAAGTTTCCAAAAAAATTTTGCACCAAAATAAATTTGTATTTAAATTACACTTTTCTTCAAATTTTTACAGTCATTCACATAATATTACTATAGGGAGTGACATAATTGTGACCAAAATCATAGAGTTTATGCTTGGGAATTAATTTATTCTTCTGCTTACCTACAATAGGTAGAATGATTTCTAAATATTAAGTAATTTTAGTAAGTTATATAATCAAGACTTCTAAATTAGCAGACTAACATATGTCAGGAAACCCCTGCAAATAACACAGCACAAATGTGAAATGAAGTTCCTGAGTGAGCAAAAGCAGGCAGAAATGGGAAGCATCTGGTTTGAAAGGATGGCATTGATCAGTGAGCTCCGCCTTCTGCACTCGGAGCTCATCCAGGTCCGTGCATAAAGGATGGCGCTGAGACAGAAAGCAGGAGTTGTATTTGTGTAAGAAATCGATATCTGAGTCCAGAGCCGGGAGAATTCATGGGCAAGGACTCTAGACCAGGGACCTGGGAAGTCCCCGACAATCTCCATTATAAAATCCATGTGAATTATTTATCTTCTGTACACTGGACATGCCTGGGCTGAAACTTCAAGCAGAAGAGAAAGATGCTGCAAGACTGAGAACATTGAAAATTTCAGTTAATGCCTATATAGGGAAGAATTTGGAGTCTAGGACAGCATCGTTTGTTAAGTTCCTCACATTTTACTAGAATTCAGAACAAATATGCATTAGAGTGTGTGTGTGTGTGTGTGTGTGTGTGTGTGTACACACATGCATGCATGTATGTATGTGCATCAAATTAGGAAAGGGATGTGCAGTTTCAGAAAAGAAATAGTGTCTAAGGAACAATAAAACAAGCTCACTTTGTTTAGGTTTCCCAATTCAGTGGCAGCAGTTCCTGCTGTACTTTATTTATTCATTTATCTATTTATTATTTGTCAGAGGGCACACGTGTGTGTAGGAGACAGAGAGAGAGGGCATCCCCCAATGGGTCTTACCACATTGCAATCCTTTTCCCTGATTTCTCCTTCGGGATTTGGAGCATGCACACTCATGTCCCCAGTGTGTTGTTCAGGCTCTGGGGCTGGGAATCCACCTGCAGTCAGCTCTATGGCTCCTGCTCCCATGCACAGTGTTTAACCACTGCACCTGGGCATGGGGCCAGCCCCTCACTGTGCTTTTTGGACTGGAAAGAAGGGTGACCACAGAGCCTTTCAAGGATAATGGGTTTTTCTCACTTAGGTGGTGTATTTCTCACTTAGGTGGTGAAAGGTGTGTCCTCTGGATTCTCCCAGGGTGGATAAGGTCTTAATTGATATAAACCACCTTCTTCTCCTTCTCCTTCTCCTTCTCCTTCTCCTTCTCCTTCTCCTTCTCCTTCCCCCTCCCTCTCCCCCTCCCCCTCCTCCTTGTCCTCCTCCTTCTTCTTCTTTACCTGGAGAGGTTTTTGCTATAGGGTTCGTGTGCTTGCCAGAAAGACAGAGAGAGACAGAAAGTGGTAAATCACCCACCAGGGAGGATGGCCACGCCGAAATCCCTTTTCCATTCCCCTCTTGAGATCTTGGGTATCCGTGCACACGCGCCCGGTGTGAGTTTAAGCCACCAGGTCTGGAACCTGAACAGTGGTCGACTACATGGGAGTCCAGCACAACTGCTGGTCCCCATGCCATTTTTCTTAAGCCTTAGAATGTCTTCTTCTACAGAATAGCAAGACAGTTGGCATTTCATCTTCATTAGTGTCGGCCACCTTTTGGTCCAAGTAATCAGCTAAACAGAGCCCTTTCTAAATCCTAGCTGTTGTGATCAGCAGTTAGTGTAATGGCTATGTCGCTGGACTCCCATGTAGTCGACCATGGTTTGAGTCACAGACCCGGTGGCTTATACTCACGCTGGGCATGTGTGCGTGCGTGCCCAAGATCCTGAGAGGAGAATGGAGGAGAAGGGATTGCGGCGTGGACATCCCCTCTGGGGGGTGATTTCTTGCTTTCTGTCTCTCTATCTCTCTCTGTCTTTCTGGCGAGCATACACACCCTATAGAAGAAAAAAAAAAAACCTCTCTAAATCGTAGCTGTGGCATTAAATCCGGACTCTTTGCTTAGTGAATATTTCTGAATTTATTTGGAATGTTTCCACTTTATATTTTCCACCTTATCTTGCATCCTTAATATTTATACCTGCATATATTCTCCAGTTTCTAACTTTATAAATTTAGAAAACCTTGTAGATCTTTGGAGGGCAGTCCCCTTCCTTGGGTCACATCGTGTACCACATCTTTCAGGATCTGCTGGACCTTGATTCTAGGTAAAGGCCTGAAAGCAAAAATGTGATTGGGTGTGTCCTCAGGAGTTTTGGCAGCGTCCTGCAAAGTAACACCTCAGAGGATGTTATTATATGTGACTCAGGCAGAGCAGAGTCAACCTTATGTGGGTTTAGAATGGCTGCTGCTACTGACAAATAAAACTCATCAGATCTTCACGGCTGAATAATGTGCCACAGTATGAACACACCGCATTTCTGGTACCTCAGCATCTACTGGTGGACATTTAGGTTCTTCCCATTTTGAGGATATGATCGATATGGTTTCTATGACAATTAGTATACAAATTTTTGTGTGAACATGTGTGTTTTCCTTTCTGGTGGGTATATACTTAGCAGAGGAATTGCTGCATTATTTTGTAACTGTATAATAGCCTTTTTTTTTTTTTTTGGAGAGATTTTTCACTATAGGGCGCGTGCGCTCGCCAGACAGACAGAGAGAGACATAGAGACAGAAAGCGAGAAATCGCCCTCCGGGGGATGGTCACGCTGCAATCCCTTCTCCTCCATTCTCCTCTCGGGATCTTGGGCATGCACACACACGCACCTGGCATGAGTTTAAGCCACTGGGTCCAGGACACAAACTGCGGTAGACTACGTGGGAGTCCAGCGACATAGCCATTATGCTAACTGCTGGTTCCCTATAATAGCCTTTTAAGAAAAACTGCCAAAGTGTTTTCCAAGGTGTTTGTGATGTTTTACAATCCTATCAGGCTTGTGTGAGAATTCTAATTTCCTCACATCCTCATCCACAGCTACATGTGGTCTTTAATATTAACCATATTAGTAAGTATGAGATAATACCACATTGTGGGTTTTTTATTTCCAGAGGGTGCATGCCTTTGAGAGAGAGAGAGAACTATTGCAAAGGGGTATGGTCATGCCACAATCTGTTTTTCTCCATTCCTCCTTCACGTCAGGTTTTGGGTGCAAACAGGAAAGTGCTGGGCTTGTTTCTCAACCTGTGGGGCCAGGACTCAAACCATAGTAAGACCTATGAGATCTGGCTCCCTTAACCACTGTGATCCAGGGTCAGCTCTGTCTTTGGTGATGTTAATATGCGCTTCTCCAACACCAATAACAAAACTGTTGAGCATCTTTTCATGGGTCACTGGCCATTTGAGTCTTCTGTTCCTATAAGCTAATGTGTTGTCATCAATAATAATTCAAATAATCTCTGGTACATTATTATGTCTAATCAACTTCCAAAAAAAGTTATGTGTATAAATAAGTTTTTTAAAAACATAAGATTTAAGGGGGTTAGTACCCATAGATTTATTAGGATTACTATGAGTCTACCTTTTACTTTTCAGGATTGTATGTATTTCCAGGTAAGCTCTAACTTAAACTGAAGACACCCTATGGGACTGGGAATTGAATTTGCTCTGCAATTTAGTCACTTGCAGGATGAATGCGATTCTGTGTTAGTTTTTCAGCTAGCTCATCATCATGGATACAGAAAGGAAG